TGGGCTATATTCCAAACCGGCGACAAATGGCTCTGAAGTGCCAATTTATGCTAGTGTTACTTTGCTCCTGAATGAGGATGGTGACCAGTCAAATAGATCTTCAAACCAAGGTTTGTATCTAGCTCCTATCAAAATCTCGGCTCCAGCCCTCCGCTCCCCCCCCCCCCCCCCGCTCCAGTTTGCAAAACATTGTGCCAAATGTTGGGATACAGACATATCTTGGGAGCATTGCATAGCTGTTCACTACTCAGCCCTGAAACCTATTCTTGAAACTGTGCCTCTGCTCGAAATGCAGTCATTTTATTAACATTTTGTTAGCATTGAAATGACGAGGATTCCCAGCTCCTTTTCTCCCCAATGTTAGTCTTGCCTGCTGTGAGCTGATATGACAGTCAAAGATGTAGGCAGTGAGGAGGCAATGAGGGGTGTGGAGTAAGGAGGTGCAGAAAATGCAGGCATTGAGGAAGGGAGGGGGTTAAGGTTTCATTGCCATCTTCCCTTCACAAAGAGTTCACTTCAAATACAAGATGGTTTTGTGGGAAGTTGGTCCTGCTGTTATAGGTGTTCAGCGAAAAATTGACATTTAGCTCTCTCTGAGAGCAGTTTTGGATATTTGACGATGATAGCACCCCGCTGTAATAGGGAAAGCTTGAAGTGAGTCATTCTGCAGTTCTCATTTACTTCCATAAGTTCTTTGCGCCTTTGCACCAGTGAGCATGCCATTGGCATTGGTGTATATGTAAAATATTTCATTCTTGCCTTTGCTAACGTTAAAGTAAATCCTTTTTCTGGTAGTACCTTGAACATGTTACTATTTATATTCAGCGCAGGCTGTGGGGAAGGACGGCTTAGCTTAAATGCAGCCCAGACTGGTGCAAAACAATATAATTTGTCTCGTCGTAGCAGCATGTCAGGAGTGTCAGTTGTCATACATGGTAAGGGGGGGGGGGGGGGCGGGCGGAGAAATAAGGTCATGGGCCTCACAACCTCCCTCTCCCTTCCCCTAAATGTGTTTGTCAACAGATTGGGTCTGCTTTGTTGTGATTGCATCTAATTTCTATTCGTTTGGTGCCAGGGAATAAATCCCAAGAAGACGGGCTTTGTGTTATAGTTGCTTTTTCCTGCTATTTTGCACTTTACAACCTGCGACTGTGAGGAGGAAAAGACCAGCATTGAGGGGCCTAAATCAACATTGGGGTGGGTTAGGGCTCTCAGAATAATTTGTATCTACACTCCTGCATCATGCCTGACAACTACCACGAGTGTGCTTAGATTTGTTTGCTATCTTTTTGTCTGCAAAGAGCTATTTGTCTTGCTGATTCAATCAGTACCAGTGTGTGCATGTTGGTAATAAAAACTGTCATTTTGATGTACTAGTTTATTTGTTTCCATGATGTGAAATGCGGGTTTTTGCAACAACATTTGTAAAATATATGAAAAAGATACTGACCAAAGATGTTAACCTTACCCTGATTCGCCGTTTTTATACCGCGGCCTGAGAGTAGGGATGATGCCCCTGCCATTCCCAAACTAAGGAAGGTAGAGCGTCACGTAAACAAAGCAAGAATGTATTGCTCTCAACGAGATCTCGCGTGTTGTCACAAGTTTTGTGTTGCTACTTGACCCCACCAGAGCAAGTCAATGGTAAAATATGCCTGAAAATCGGACTAGTTCAACTTTGCATGTTCACATGTACACAAAGATACCGCGTAACGATATGGAATTCAAAAGAGTGTACTCTGTTTATATTCTGTGCAATAGTATGTATGTTTGTCTGCTTTAAACTTACGTTAAAAAAGTTCGGCTTGGTTAATATAATAGTGCCAGGCCTGTACACGCGGCCCGCAGAATCGTCGGTTGCCCGCGCCGGCCGTGGATCGTCGTTCTGTGCTCCTAAAAACCGTCGCTTATCAGCAACTAGAAATACTAGAAATATGTGTTTGTAGCCAAGACACGTGCAATGAATGCCCCAGTGGCCACAAAATTTGGGCGCGAGTGCACCACATGCTGGACTTGTACCTTCAGAAACCTGGAGGAAGGGGGGGGGGTCGGATCGGCTCCCATATGAGGCCGAGCGTTAATATGTTGTTCAGAAACAGCTAGCATGCTCATATAAGGCCATTAACAACTTTCAAACCAATTCTTCTCTATTTGGCAGCCGTTGCGTGACAAATTTCTGGATTAGCAACATAATTACCTGCTTTAATGACGGCTGACTGGGGTAACCTGGCTTCACCTGAGCTAATTACACTGGATCGTTTTAGTTACCTAAGCACCCCTCCGGCTATTAAGGGCTCCGTCGCTGGGGTGATCTACCCATATTCAAAGCCTTCTAGATACTTGGGGTCTTCTTAACTGTTCAGGGACCTTTTGGCCCCCGGGATGCTCCTTCCATCATCCAAGAGCCCCTCTCGCTGCTCGATGGACTCCCTGACCGGTCAGAGGCACTCTGGGTACCCAGGAGTTCAGCAAATGTTCAAGGCTGCCTGCCAACTTAGTGTCGCCCTTGCCGCTCAGGGACCTCGCTCTTAATGGTCGTTACCATTCAGCGACCATTTTGGCCCCCAAACAATTTTCCAGTCACTACATTTCTTTCTGGCTGCACAGGGTCTCCACTGAAATAGCCGTCAAAGCCATCTTGCCACGACTGAGTTCATGGCTAGCAATCCTGCGGAGTATGGGGGTGAGGGTGAGCGTAGGGCGTCCATTTTCCCTGACGCCGAGGGACGCAATACCTGGGTTTTGGTGCACGTGCGCGCGGGGCTGTTTTTGTTGCGTGCAGCGTGAAGAAAATACCTGTGCTAAATGGAAATATCCCATACGCTGCCTACTCACTAGGACCCATTTGGCTACTCAGAGGCCCCTTTTACAGAAACGTGAGCCTCAGCTGGCTACCGTGTGCACTCGAGCCGCTAGTTAGGTCCCATCCGCCACGCAAAAGTTCCTTCAGGACCTAGAATGACCTGGGAACTGTGCAGTCCTTCTTGGACCGTTTTAGTGTGGTGGTTGAAACGCGCACCAGGGAGGCCACCTGGCGCACCACCTGGCTGTCGAGGCCCTTCGCGTTTTTTGCGACAAATTCAGCCGTAGATTGATATTTAATTTGAGGGCACGGTAAGCGGCAAGTCACGAGGGTGGGCGAAGAGTGTTCTTGTGGTTGAACTATCCCATGGTGTAGTGCCGGTGTACCTGCATTCTTCGCAGCAACAGATATCCTGGGATGAGTTGAATGATGTATAAATGAACGTTTCGGTCGTGTGCATGATATTGCAAGTTGCGGAGACAAACGAGGCTTTCGGTGATGTGCCGATTTCTGATTACACTGATGGACATGGACGTCATTGCCATGTCTTATTATATAGCATCGCGTTAAGCTGTTGGTGGGAATTTTCGTCGCAGAAATTCGGTCGGTGACGCGAAGTACATTTTTACCCCCCCCCCCCCCCTGCCTCTACTGGTGCCAATAACGGCAGTACAAATTCGTGTTTGTAAACGGCACAGCGGGCAGCAAGCGTCAGTTTCCGAGAAGGGCGCTGGTTGAAGTTTGAACCAGTGCGTCAGTATGAACCTTGTGACACCCATACCCAAACCCAGAGCGCGCCTCAAAAAGAGCCATGTCGTTTACGCCATAGGGGAGAAGTCAAAACCATATCAACACATTTCGTTAAGCTGGTGTATAATAGCCACGTGTTTGCATGCATAATAGCCACGTGTTTGTACACATTTTTCTTTAGAAAGAGTGCTCCAAGCTTTATGTTCATTCATTACGCAAGCATTTTGACAAATCAGTGTATTGCAAACATTTCGTGATACACCCAATAGAATAAGCATAGCAACTGAAATGCACTGCTTTCACAGTGGTGAGCAGAGAGCTCTCTGAGATTTCTCCCGCAGGGTTTCTCGCACGGTCCATACTGACGCACTGGTTCAATCCTAAACCAACGCCCTTCCCGAACCTGGCCCCTACAGCCCGCTGTGACATTCACAAACATTCATTTGTACTGACGTTACTTGAAGGAGGAACTCTGGGCTTTTCAGGGGGGTTTCTAGAAGACTGTTCAAAAGCGTATTATTGATAAAATCGGACGCCTCTGATATGACAATACGTGAAAAGTACAAAAAGGGGCATGCTCTTTTTAAAAGCGCAAAGCAAACGGCCGCCGGCCAGCACATAGAGTGATGTTGATTATTCTGCTGCCCAGGACACAATTTCAAATTAAAACCCAACAATTACGGCTGTGCGCATTGCATAGCAATGGCATATGGCTAACGGCCGTCAGCACAACACGCTCGTCCGATTATGACCTCCATTATTAGTTTTTCGGTTAACTTCCGACAGTATATTACTCAACGCTGGTGGGCCAACTGCAGTGGTGATTTGAACAGAAGTGACGTTCAATTTTTGAATGTTTCCGCTGGTGCATGAAAGGCGTAACCGTGCAGTAACAATTTTATCGCAGGGCACTATCTGCTGACAAGTACAACTCGCTTCGGGGGACATCGCCTTTTTTCGAATCGCCACTTGACAGCGGAGAGCTGACGGCGCATGACCAGCACGATGAGTGATCGCCGCAATATGGCGGCCCGAGGAAAATACTTATGATCCAAGGTCAAATCTCAGCTGTGTGCATTTGTTAGCGCACATATCGAGCTATCAGCTTATGGAATGACATGTCTGTCATATTTATGCTGATGTTAAAGAATCCTCGTCGCTGTACTTGAATTCCAAACGATATTCGTCCCGTCACCACTCACAAAACTGATACAAGCTTAGTTTTTAGCAGGTATGATTTCATATATATGTATATATATACATATATCTATATACATATATATATATATATATATATATATATATATATATATATATATATATATATATATATATACATGATCTGGGGGTGTTAAGATAAAAGACATGCCTCATGAACGCATTGCAGCGCTGAGTTATCTGACGTTAAAATGTCCTTGCTGAAAACATGCTAGCCAAAAATACGACATGTAACACAATTTTTATTTTAACTTCTGTCCAACAAAAAGATGCTAACAAAACCGTCAGCGATGCTAACAAGACGTGTAGCATGTAAAAGATGGTTGTTTTTCTATGCTGCTTGCCAAATGGTGGGCTTCTTGGATATTTGAGCTTCAAAACTTGCAGACTGGTAGCTCGTAATCCTGAAATAAAATCAATGATTCGAACATATTAGTACCTTGATATTTTTCAAATACAGGCAGCATAAAAGTCGAAGAAGTAGTGACTTATCGCCTCACTCGCGGAAGAAGTAGTGAGCTGTAACACCCATAGTTCGGTTCCCGTTAACCACATGAGCACGTGTCTCCAATTCGCCTCTCAGTTGACGACCACGAGCCCGAACTTGAACAATGACACAGACCTTGAATGACTCCACGTATTCTTTAAGCTATGTCACACGCGGACTACTGTCGAATATGTTTACTGAATGACGCTGGAGAACTTTATACCTATCAATAGGAGTGGACATAAATCCACATGGTTTATCTGTACGGGGCAGCGTCGCAACCGCACACGGCAGCGCCGCAACCGCACACGGCAGTGGAGCAACCGCACACGGCAGCGCCGCAACCGCACACGGCAGTGGAGTAGCCGCACACGGCAGCGCCGCAACCGCACACGGCAGTGGAGCACCTGCGCGCGGCAGTGTAGCACCCGCACGCGGCAGTGTGGCACCCGCACACGGCAGTGCAACGCACACGGCAAACCGCCACGGCACGCGCAACCGCACGCGGGAGCCTGCACGGGCGTGCACCCGCACGCGGCAGTGTGGCACCGCCACCCCACGCACGCGGCATTGCGGCAAGCGGGTGCGGCACCCGCACGCGGCAGTGTGGCACCCGCACGCGTGGCCGCAGGGTGTAGCACTGCACGCGGCAGTGTAGCACCCGCACACGGCAGTGGAGCACCTGCGCGCGGCAGTGTAGCACCCGCACGCGGCAGTGTGGCACCCGCACGCGGCAGTGTTGGCACCCGCACGCGGCATTGCGGCACCCGCACGCGGCAGTGCGGCACCCGCACGCGGCAGTGTGGCACCCGCACGCGGCAGTGTGGTACCCGCACGCGGCATTGCGGCACCCGCACGCGGCAGTGTAGCACCCGCACGCGACCAGCGCGTCCACAGCTGACGACTCGCTTACCGTTTCGACGCGGTACTCGGTAGTGTAATAGTCGTAGACGGCGATGGTGGCCGGCTTCAGCCTCTCCACCACCGAATCCCGCCAGATCTGGACGTCGAAGCAGACCTCTTTCTTCACCAGCTGGTCAAAGTACAGTGACAGCACTGCGTTGCGGAACTCCCAACGTTGGACCACTGCCGGGTCAGATCAGGAGCTGTCAGAACGTCTGTCATGATTTGCACGTCAACAAGGCCGTGTGTGTCAGGCCTAGCAGTATCGTAACCGCCGGTTGACTGCGGAGTAAAGGGCGGTTTTGAGACAGTGATATAAAATTGTCGACATGCGCAAGCTTCGATATTTCCATGAGTTAGGTTAGGAGGCGTTCGGCAGTCAGGTCAGCCGGCTTAACTCTGACAAGAAATAAAGGAATGGCGATTGATCATTGGGAACTATTGTAAAGGAACACTGTATGGAAAATCCCCGAAGAAGAACATCACGTACACTGATCTGCAAAATTCCAAATGCAGTCGTCTAGGAATACTGAACGTCCGCACGGCGTGTCACACATTGTGACCACTTCCACGCACCACCCAGAGTATTTTGTCAGGGCTGCAATCTCGCCAACCACTTGAATCGACTTAGCGGGAAATATGTGACTGAAGCAATGGCGAAACTGACTTTCTTCGACAGCCCCATATGTATCTTTTCCAAAGCTGAGAGGCGTTCATGGCAAAGTACGAGGAAGAGAACGTGACCAAATGCTTGACATTGGTCTAGCTTTTAAAGCGTATGGAAAGCAACACCGTGCACGCTATACCAACCAGCCATATTCAACAAGCCAGCCCCGTCCAGACAGCCTGGAGCCACCACCCTTTCGAAGGCTGGCTGAGAGCGTGTGGACCAGAATGGGGGGGGGGGGGGGGGGAACTCCTCCAATTGAATACGAAGCTACATCCATGCCAGCATGCCTTCCTCAGTGCTACGTGGAAGGCCAGCACGTGCAGGACCTACCGCCACTTCGTTCCAGCTGCTGCAACACGTGGTCAACGATGAGGTAGCCAGACGGCATCTCCATCTCGATGATGGCCATGTTGGAGGCGGCGTCTGCCTCCAGGTAGGATGCGCACAGTTCTGCGGCAGAGCAGCGAAGGTACAGACCGCATGCCGTGCTCACAGACAGCTCCATGGACTGGCTCACTGACCCGCTACGTGAACGTCGTCACTGACGCTGACATGGACATCATTCAGTAACCACGCGAGCGGTATGCGGCTTGCTACATTTCCGGATGCACATCAAACTTCGTGAAATATAAAAAAGAACAGGTCAACAGCAATGCTATTTCCAACTGAACTAAAACAAAATGCTTACCTACGACGTATGATTGACAAGAATTTCTCTTTAGAGGTCTTATTTTGTGCTGAAGTCTAAAGGCCTGCTTGGCCTTCGTCTCTTGCAGGCTATACCGCATAGTGGTCTGCGAACATGCAGCACTATTAGATTCCAGCAAACCACATGCGTCGACCATTTTTGTCAGCCGTTAAGATTACAATCCCTCCCCGTCAGTATTTTCAGTGCAGTAGATGAAAGTTGTGCCTGGGACATCTGGGACAACACCGCATGTGCCATGGGACATCATGGGACAAATGTTTTCATGTCATTTTGGAAAAACTGCAGTTTACAATCTGAATACGCGATGTCCCGTGGCTACAGATCTTCCCTTTATGTTTCATTGATATGCCCAGCCATTTGATGAAAATGAAAAAGAATACGCTTTCCCGCATACAAGGGCTGCAGCCTAGGGCCGGCCATACGACGGACCTGCGCCACCACGCATCCCAGGCCGCTGACGGAGACGGCCAGGCTGACAGGCAGCTGCAGCGGCCGCAGCTCCAGCTGCTGGTGCAGCAGCCGGTTCTCGGGCGTCACGGTGAAGCGCCGCGGAGTTTGCCGAGCGCCCACCCTGACGGTCACCTCCAGAGCGGCCGCCTTTAGCCGCCGGCTGGCCTCGGTCTCGGCCGCCACTAGCGCCGCCAGCGCCACCACTGTGTCCTGCGTCGAGACGAATCCGCCGCGACCGTTGCGCTGCCGGTCCAGCCAGGTAACGGTGGCGAGCGAGTCGGCAGCGTGGCCGCCCAGGCGCAGCAGCGTCATCGTCATGTAGGCCGTTGTCTCAACGTCGAGCGCGGCGCCACCAGCCAGGCGACCGCGCTCCGTCCGCCAGTGCAGCGCAGCCTTCTCGCGGAGCGCGCGCTTGAGGAGCGCCGGCAGCAGCTCGGCGGCCGCCGTCTTCTCGTTGGCCACGGCCAGCGCTTGCGCCACCAGCGCCTCGGCGTAGATACCGCGCGGTGTGCCGCGGCGCAGACAGGCGGCGGCGCGGCGCACGATGTCGCCGCTGGCGCCCGTCTCGACCAGCGCCAGCAGCGTGTAGGCGGTGAGCGCCAGCCGGTCGCCGCCGCCCACGCCACCACTCATCGCCTTGTTACAAAGCCAGCCGACGGTGTTGAAGCAGCCATCATCGCGCTGCTGCTGCTCAACCCAGCGTCGGCTGACAGCCAGGTCGCGCTGATCGATCGGAACGAACCGCGCCGCCGCCGTGAACGATTTGATGACGTACACTGTGAGCCACAGCGAGCCCTGGCTGCGGCCGGAGCGCTCGCCGAACGCCGAGTACGAGCCGTCGCGGTGTCGGTAGCGGAGCTGGCGCTGGTAGCCTGGCGTCAGCAGCGGCGGTCAGAGAACAGCCACCCGGCCCGGCGACGAGGACAGCTGACAGAGGGCACGCGCTACCTGCTGCTGCTCACCCGAACATCGGAGGCCATCTTTAGGAGTAAACGGATCGTACGACAAAAGCGGAAGACCGGGCTGCTGTTTTATAAGTACGTGTCATCGGGACCATCTCTCACAACGGGCCATCCCAATGAGCGGACACAACTACTTGACGAGACATAGGTTGTCAAGGCTGAGATGTCCCTGTATCGTGTTCAGTATCGATAACGAGTATGAACAGCCTCTACATTAAATACTGACACCACATGCACACGAATCTGTCTTTGCGACGTGATGGGAAGCGCTAATGCCGCCTTTCGCCATGAACATCTGAAAGGAAATGTAGGTTAACATACCAGTCCGCATGTTGTCTGTAGTCTTTTTCTTCAGCTCTTGGCTCAGTTGATTTGTTGCTTCCAGGTATTGCCGCACCAGAATGTTCGGTACAAGCAGGACCATGTTTTGTTCGCCGCAACCATGCGGCACGCGCACCAGGCTCTCAAGCCCCTGCAGCACCATCGATCTTATTTTCAAGCACCCAAACGTCTCTCCATGCAAATTTTCTAGGAAACGCGACCTTTTTAGGAAATATAGGTAGACATGATGCTGGTATATCTTGACTTGAGCATGTCAAGCACAAGCTTAAGCTTAGGCTTGACTTAAGCACATTCATGTCGCGTTGACCACCCCTGAGTATGTGTCTGTATTGCGAGAGACGCTGGTTACCTCAGAGTATGCGTCTGCGTTGTTAGCCACCCCCGAGCGTGCGTCTGTGTCGTTAGAGACGTTGGCCATAACTGAATAAGCTTCTGCATTGCCATACATGCTGGCCACCCCTGAGTATGCGTCTGTATTGTTAGCCATCCCTGAGTATGCGTTTGTGTCGTTAGAAACGTTGATCAACCCTGAGTATGCGTGTGCATTGTTAGAGATGCTCGCCGCCCGTGAGTGTGCGTCTGTGTCGTTAGAGACGTTGACCACCCCTGAGTAAGCGTCTGCATTGCTAGACATGCTGGCCACCCCTGAGTATGCGTATGCATTGTTAGCCACCCCTGAGTATGTGTGTGTATTGTTAGCCACCCCTGAGTATGCGTTTGTGTCGTTAGAAACGTTGGCCAACCCTGAGTATGCGTCTGCATTGTTAGAGACGCACGCCACTCCTGAGTATGCGACTGTGCTTTTAGAGACGTGGGCCACACCTGATTACGCGTCTGTATTGTTAGAGACGTTGACCACCCCTGAGTATACGTCTGTATTGTTGCAGACGCTGGTACAATACACTGGGAAGATACTTTTGCTCTACGTCAAAAGCGCAGCAGATTTCCTGAGCTCATCAGCGTAGGTCAGTGTAAAAAGCTTGGTCATTCTGTCACAAGGAAGCATATCCTCAACGACAAACAACCATCAAGAAGATAGAAGAGCCGCATAGCGTATGAATTTGGTGTCGTGTGAACAGACCGACCATGCGTCGACGAAATAAATGTTAGTTTTAACGCGACATGACATGCATGGTATTTTCTCAATTACTGTATGCGCCTGACTAAAAGGATGAAAGCCACGGACGGCGCTCCACCATGCAGCACAGGAACTTGCATAGGAAACTGTTAGCCGAGCTGAAGACGGAGCAAGTCCGTAACGTACATCTGTTAGCGGAGCTGAGCGCGGAGCAACTCCGTAAAGTACGTCAGAAAACAAAATCGCATGCCTTGGCTAAGCACGACTGAAGTTCGTCAGGCAAGCATTCGGTCGATACATCTCAACTTGCATTAAGACGGCCGACAGTAGGTCCTGGCGGCAAAGGCCACCACCAGTCACTCACTGGCATGCACTCACTGGCCAACTGGCATGACCGGTGGCCATTCTGCGGCCATCTGACATGAGGGCTGTCCACCACTGCAACCCCCGACTTGTGTAGTGTTACTCCATCCCCGGCCGACTCCTCTGGAGACACGTACCGAGACCTGCGTGATGGCTTGGGCCAGAGGGTCACCGTAGAGGGAGAAGACGGCACGTGCTGACCCGGGTACGATGCGTGGCGACGTGGCCAGATTGAACACGTGCGTGGCGACGCCCTTGTCGGGGCAGATCCGCTCCGAGAGAGTCTCCTCTTGAGGGAAGCCCTCCGGTTTCACCAGCATTTGGCGGACCAGGACATCACTGTAAGACACGAAAGGGTGGGCACATTAGAGGCCGAATATGGAAGACACAGGCCAGGCCTTTACCAGGAGCCATATCTAACGCTTACTTTCCCTTTGTTTTTACCAGTTTTTACACATTCTCTCTCCCGTTATTGCCCCGTGTCTCCCCCCTCTCTATCTTTCCCCCACACAAAAATGAAATTTTCAAATGCAAATTCATGACTGCTAGATTATCAACTTCGCCTCATCTATTGATCACTTGGTCACTGGATGCCATTGCTCACCACATCACCCAAAGCCTCTTTACAGCGGAAAGGAGGCACCGACACCACAGTCTCCTTGGAGCCAGACACTGCGTCATCTCGCGTGACGAGAGGCGACAGCGGGCTCACCTCTGGACGCCGATGCTGTTTGGGCCGCCGCAGGCGTTGCCGGCCGCCTCCACTGACACCTGAACGTCAACCTGACCGAGACTGGTGAACAGCAGGGGGAACGTGCTCACGGTCGGCTTGCTCGGTTGGACGCAGAGGGCGCGGCGAGCGCCGGCGCCAGACTTCTCCAGGATCAGGTCTGGCGTCTCGTTCAGCACTAGGATGACCTGTGACGGGACAAAGTCAACATCAGGTCAGGTCGGGTTCCAGTATCGGGACTCTGGTAGGACTTATACGAGCGGTAATCAACCCTCGCCCTGATTCGCCCTTGTTCATCACGCGGCCTAACACCGGTCGATACCACCCTGCCTGCAGTTTCCAAACTAAGAAAGATACAGCTTAGCGGAAAAAACGCTCAGCTGGTCTCAATGACATTTTGCGACCATTCACAAATTTTATGTTCCTTTCCCAACAACCAATCGCATTATTCATAGTCAAAAGGCCAAATATTTCAAGAAAACAGTCCTTATCAGCCTATACATTAAACATAGCTTATCCTTATACAAGCAAGGCAGTGCCTCGTAATGACACATAATCCAAACAGGCGTGCTCCTTGTTCAATTCTGAGTACGATGGTATGCGGTATTATATGTTTTGACCCTACGTTTATTATGTTCGACTTCTTTCAAGGAATCGCTGCTCATTTAAAAATAATCAAGCAAGCATCAGATATGATCCAATAAGCTCACTTATATCTACTGGTATACTTTTCGGTGGGAGACTGCTCCAGTCAACACAATTTCTCTGTTTACGTTATTGTTTGGTTACGTCAACGTGCCTTGCACAGCATAGACTAAGAACCAAATGACAGCCGTTGTATTTGAAAATCGTGCTCACGAACGCCAGTATGAGAGACTCGCCAATCATATTTTTCTTGGCGTTGATCGCCGCATGGATAATGGAATCGCAGGCTTTTGAATGGCGATATTATGGAGTCATGGATGCCTGGATGACCTTGATATAGTCCCTCCGAAGAAGTCTGCGCATCTTCGCGGCTCAGAAACTAGAGGGGTTTAGGTCTTAAGAAGGGCAGGGTTGTGAAGTACACCGAATGAAATTCAAGATGCCTTTTCAGTTCACAACTACTGACAAAAGAGGGACATCGCCTCTTAGCATGTTGACCTGGCGCGCGCGTTCCGCGCCATTGTTGGTTGCCGCCCGCCGTCCCGGTTGGCCATAGATCAGCATGCATTGTTGCTAAAAACAACCGCCGCTGCTCCGAAACCAAAAAGGCTAAGGACACGATTTGGTGCCAAAACACGTGCAATTGGTGCTGCGTAGGCTATTTAGTGTTTGGGTCTGATTGCCCGGCACGCCAGAGAGATATCTTCAAAAATCCACAGGGGAGTCGCATTAACCCCCTACCAGAGCGAGGGCAAAGACAGAGGGTATTCGCTTTGGACGCATAAGCTGTCATTTGGCCCGATAGAAACATGTCCATAAAGACATGTAAAATCACTATCCGTTGGCCACAGATAACAAGCCAAGCAAAAATAATACGACGAGAGGTGGTGAAAAAACTTACGGAAAGCTCGCTGGAAAGGAAGTTAAAGACGGAAACCTTGAGCTGAAGCAGTTCGCCTCGTTTCACCGAATACGGCAGGTTGATTTCTGCGAAGAATGGCTTGAAGGCCTTGATGGATGCCGTGGGAGATATACCCAAGCCGACCTGAGGACATGCCAAGTTCTCTTTGAAGACGTGATTGGCGGTGGTCGCGAAATGGGGATCAGCGACGACACCAAATATATCGCCAATCGGTCGGTAAGTTCAAGGGATCATTCTGTATTCAGCAGTCATTCAGTTTATAAACGTCACCACAGCCAAACGGCTACGTCCAAGTTCACACTGCGCTGGGCTTAAATAGCCAAGAAATGTCGCTCAGTCGGAAATGGTGGCGCAATGCTATCAGGTTTAAAAAATTTGTTCCGCCAAAGCCGAACAATTTGCTGAGATAACTGATGGCAAGGCGGTCTAGTCAGGTAGTGCGTAAGCTTTCACACTAATCGTGTGAGTCTCTCCAGCTTGGAAAGATCCGAGTAAGTCATGGCGCTTACCATGCGTGCATTCTATCTAATATGCGACCGTCACGATCCACATGAAAGCGGACGCACCTGGCTGGCACGATAGAGTCCGTCAAGTCTGTCATCAAACCACGCCGAGTGAAGATAACCGATAAATGAAGTTATTGCTCCATGACAGCGTGATACGCCTGGTCTTCAGGCTACTGAATTTGACGATCGCGAGATAAGGTGCAGAAAAGGCGCAACATGACATGCCACCCGTCACACAGGGAGAAAAGCCTCAAAGTCGTGATGCTCACCACCATGACCCTGAGGTGACTTGAACATGACCTAAACATGACCTAGTACGATAGAGTCGATTGACAGCTGATAAGCTTGGATGAAGATTCAAGTTAGGAACGATCCCACGCTTGCAAAAACCGGGTTCAGCTGACGCCACTCAGAGCACCAGTGTTACAAAGTCACCGACGGGCGGCCTGCACCGGACGTCGCAGGCGTGTGCGCTCATGCCGCGTGACCTCAAGGCGGCGGTATGGTGCACCCGGATCACCTTGGGATGGGAGCAGACTGCAGAACTTGTCCAGCTGGTGATGGTGTCGGGAAGCGTACGCGACAAGCTCTGGCGCCCGGAAGACCTGGCGGTGGGCACGTCCGGCGGATCAAAGCCCATCAGACGCTGCTCAACCAGCGCCAGCTCAATCGACAAGCTGCCCAGCATCCACCTGTACGCTTTGTTGGAATGCGGCATGTCACCAAAAGTTGTCTTCAGTTCACTTGTTCTGGATCAGATATTGCACTTAAGAAGCGTAATTGACGGTACCATATGCCGCAGTACATCTTTAGCAAAGACGCGACAGAAGGTTTGTGGTCTGCTCTTAGTCAGTGTGAAATAATAAGTGGCGAAAGGCCCCAGCCCGTTGGATATTGGCGTTTTACCAATAAATTGCCCACACACCTTCCAGAAGATAGGTACCCAGGACCAATGAAGAAGTTAACTCAATGTGGTCATCGAAATAATCAACTATCGGCTAAGTAATTTGTGGCATCCCCTTTTGCGGCACATATTTGATGCTGCCACCCGCCTGGTCATTTACGTTTCACACTGAAAACAAACTGGCAGTAATGACTTTTGCTTTTCCTTGCGACTGTGCGACATACTCTCCGAATGACATGATATAGTGTGAGATGTAAGCACAAAGTTTTTGGAGAACTTACTCCACAAGTGCAAAGTTTGCCAGTGAGATTTCGGGCGTATTCCCCACCCTTCGCCAGCATTTATAAGTGACGCCTCGAGTGAGGTAGACGAGTCTTTTTTGTCATGCTTTTTGCACCCCATTCGTTTCTGCAATGTCCTAAGCACGTTTTCAATTCTTACATATCATTCTTCGCGATCGTGCCATACGCTGACGAAGGTTGGCAAATACACACGAAAGCTCCTCAGCTGGCTTGTTACTAACTGCGTAAGTCCTCAAATAATGACATAATTATGCAACCTATGGCAAAATCCTGCCAAGATCGGGCCGGAATCGCTTTTTCAGAGCAATAATCTTTGAATTTTCATCCTCCGGCGCTTGGTCCTGGGCGGAAAATGCAACAACGACTTTGGTTCTCAAAAAATATTTTGTCGGCCAAGTATGGTATTGCATGGAGGAAAATTGTGTATAGCCTCGCCACAAGAACCCCGTGAGTTCACGCAAGGTAAATGATGGTCCTGGAAAGACCCCGTTCAGCTTCGTTCTGATTCAGCGTGAGCTTTTCGTCCGAAAGAACCGCGGACTCTTACGATAACGCACTCCTCTACCAGGAGATCGCCTCCGCGGCACCTGAAAACTTTCTCTGAGAGCGAGAGCCCACTGTAACTCACCGCAGCATTTACGGAATGCCATTGTGCGCTTTGGTCTCTGCTCAGCGCATATGTAGAGCGACACTGCTTTGAAAGAGCCCACCTCGCACTGGATGCCGCGAGTTTCCTGCGTGCACGAGCGCCCACGAGCGCTCGACCCTCGCCCGGCCGAGCGCTTGGACGGACTGGTCAAATACGGCCGCAAAATGACGCAGAAGGCCTCAGCAAAGGGGATGGAGAGCTGAGAATGCGGCCAGTGCTACTGTAGGGACAATGCACACATACTGCGGCATGGAAAGCAGCACGTTTGCTTGGCTACGCCTCTGTCCTATTGACGTAGCCCGCATTTGTTGGAAATTTTTGACGGCAATACAGATCAGGAGAGGCTGAAAATGAAAAGAAGTCACAGCACCACATAAATCTAATCGCGGAATAACACAGTCCAAATGAGCCAAATAAGTCCAAAATGCTGGCAATACCGATACTTACCCAACAACTTCCAATTCGAACATGAATGTTTCTGGGAAGTACCGACGCACTTCAGGCTCCAGGACGGTCTCCTTCAATATCTCTTCAACGCCAGGGGATTTGTCTCCTGTCCTCTTTGCTTGACCGTTTCGTAATGTTTTTCTTCTGATTTCTACATCTCTATTGGTTCGTGCAACAGCCCCATTGGCAGTGTGTGATCCACCTCTATTGATTCGTGCACCAGCCCCTCCATCGGCAGTTTGTGATACACCTCTATTGCTTCGTGCACCAGCCCGTCCATTGGCAGTTTGTGATCCTCCTGAGATGCCGTTTGTCGTTGATGTTCTATCAGAAGTAGCCCGTACCGATGGCACAGCAAAACTAGTACTGGAATCCGCAGTATTAGATCCCTCAGCTGACACCACATTCCTGCTGCCACCAGCTGAACTTGCCGCCGTTCCGACTTGCGGAAGGGAAGTACTTTGTATATTACGGTATCTTTTCCAACAACGCCTCTGCCGGGTGACTTTATGTCGGCGCTCAATGCAAGGTCTCGTCTGCAGCGCCAGGTTTGACACCGCCAGAAAGCCCGCCATCTGCAAAGCAATAACATTTAATTAACTGAAGTCTCCATCTGAGTCTGCCTCTTTTAGACACGCCCTCTGTACTTCTGCCCCAACATCGCTCTTTTCTCTCTCCCTCTTTTCCAAATGGGAAACAATCAGAAAAAACTACGTACGTCAAATGCCGCCAAGGCATCTTCGCGATCATCTGGGATGTAATATATTTCAGTTACTTTGATCGTCATTGTTCCCATTTCTCGACGACCACCAGACCTGAAATCGCAGAGACGGCATATTACCATGCCTGTCATATACAGTGATGCCTGTCGATGCGCCTCGCAGTATTAAACAAAGCGATGATCTTAACAGATTATATTCATGATTATATTCATGATTCGGATGGCAAACTTCCCTGGGAGGCTTCTAACGACATAAAAGTTCGGTGAAATAAGGTAGCTTATTAGTAAGGCAGATTATAATCCGTGCGAAAAGAGGGATGACACATGTTGTGGAATTTAACCCCAGTTTCGAGATAATCAAAATCAGGAAACATCGAGTCATGTTGTTGCACAGCTAACTTTCTATTATGTCGACATCACCTAGCCGTCAGATCTGGTTGCGGCAAAAGTGTGGTGTGGCAAGAGTGTGATGGATGCAGCGTCTTAAGAGTGCCGGCGTCAGATTTATGCCGCCACCTCCCTGCTCTGTCCCTCATGTCGCCACCTCCCCTGCTCTGTCCTTCACGTCACCACCTCCCCTGCTCTGTCCTTCATGTCGCCACCTCCCCTGCTCTGTCCTTCATGTCGCCACCCCCTCTGATCTGTCCCTCATGTCGCCACCTCCCCTGCTCTGTCCTTCATGTCACCACCTCTCTGCTCTGTCCTTCATGTTGCTACCTCCCCTGCTCTGTCCTTCATGCCGCCACCTCCTCTGATCTATCCCTCATGTCGCCACCTCCTCTGATCTGTCCCTCATGTCGCCACCTCCCTGCTCTGTCCTTCATGTCGCCACCTCCTCTGCTCTGTCCTTCATGTCGCCACCTCCCCTGCTCTGTCCTTCATGTCGCCACCTCCTCTGCTCTGTCCTTCACGTAGCCACCTCCTTTGCTCTGTCCTTCATGTCCAAGATTTGCGGCTGACGGTATGTTCAAACATTGACGCATTTGTTCAATATTCACGCACTCGTGGTATCACCTAAAATTGTTGTAAATTGTGATACTTAGTTGAAATCGTCTTGTTGCTTATCTTTTAGGTCGGCACATCAACGCTGCACAAAACCTACCTTGAACCATAAAGGTGCGACGAGGTGGTCTGGGTGTTAACGCGAACATGTGGGTACAGGGCGTTATAGTGTTAAGATGGGAGCTGTTGTCCTCCAAATGTAGTACATATATAAAGAAACGAATAGGAGCTTAACGGTCGCGCTGGTACGAAAGCAAATGTACCCTTGAATGCTAAAAAATGTATTTCTGAAATAATGACGTGCAAAATTTACACAAGCTTGGTTTTTTCTGTTCTGAGAACAACTGCGAAGCCGTCGAACGGTAAAGCTGTTGCCTTAACGATGTGGGGTGCATTTGAAGTGCTCCATCCCTTCTTACAATGTTTGAAACAAGCCCGCCCGCCCTAACAGCTTAGCCCGTCCCCGTCCCAATTAGTCCGTCTCATTAGCTGTCTGTTAGAGCGTTCGTCCTAAGGTTCACCCACCCGTGGATGTGTGGGTTTGAGCAGGCTTAGGCGCGCGCTGTGTGTCCTTGAACGGTGTCTCATGCCGCCGATGGCAGCAGTTGTGCTTAAGTTCTGGGGACGTCCGAGGGGAAGGCGGGCCGTGGCGAGCATTTGGCACATCATGTTTTTACCGAAAACATTATGTCGTTAACCCGGAATTTCGCAATTAGACGGTTGGGGGAGGGGGACTCGCACCCGGGAGTGCCATTTTGTATATTTTGCTGGTCTGAGTCCTCCCCCCCCCCCCCACACCCAATGCTGACATGAGTCCCCTCGATCCTTTTTTGAGCCCCATTCATATAAGCAAAAACAAGAAAAACCGGGGCAATTAAATGCAGCAAGCGCATGAATGCATGCGCTTGCTGCATTTAATTGCCACCATGAATGCATGCGCAAGCGCATGGTGCACTTAGTCCTAAACCATGACTATTTGTACCATCATGGCACATCGGAATTATCACTATCACATACATTTCAAATGAAAAGTCATTCCGCAGCATGAAAGCAAAATTGGAAACGACCAAATGTTGTTTTCTTACCTTAATTTTAACATCAGGGATAAAAATCCATGTGGCCGAAACCCAGGAAGAAAACTGGATTTCAGGGTAGATTAGGTCAACTGCCTTGGCTCAACCCCTTCCCCATAACCGATATCAGAAAGTGACAACCCGACTCACGACAAAAACGTCTTAAGTGTGTGTGCTAATCCAAAAGATCCATCTAACCAAAGGGCGGCGGTCTATTCTTTATAAAAACATAATGAGGTGGAAAATTTGCCCTGTCTTCCGCGCCGGCATAAAAGTTTCAGCGCAATACCTCTAAAAAAACGTCTCCTCTCAAAAATCGGAAGAGCTAGACACATTTCGGTTCAAGAAAGAAACGTAATGCTGGAAAATACCGTGACAATTTGGCATGGCTGCGCGACATACACGGTCAGAGAGACATATGCAGCCAAAAGCTTCACCATGTTGACCTCAGGTGGAAACCAAATCATTATGTTATGCGCAAAGCCCAGAATAGTGATGTTGGCCATGCGCATAACTGATCTAAATACATGTGCATGTAAGTACTCCCTGTAAGTAGTGCATGTAAGTAAGTAAGTGTAAGTGCATGTAAGTACCGCAGTCTTCATCCAACAAGCAGCCCATCCCACATTTAGCCACCAAAAGCCATGACCTTCGGTGCTCGCAAAATAGCCGCCGTCGCCGCTTAAGCGCGGCGCTCCTGTCAGTGGCTTACACGTCCTCGTAACCAGGACAGGTCGGAACCACCGACACTTCGTCCTCGGAAGGCCTGCGCGACGGCGGGCAGTAGCCCGAGGAACGCGTCAGCCGGGGCGACTCCGACTTCTGGATTATCAGCTGCTGCACCTGGCTGAACACCTTCTGTGGCGTCACTGTGTTGGAAGTGCCCAGCAGCTCTGCGCTGCGGTCCACGGTAGCTGCGGCACGGGGGGACGGTCAGCTACGAGATACCACGAACAGTCAGTCAGTCACCAGACAACACGAGCAGTCTGTCAGCCACTGAGCAACGCGAGCAGGCAGTCAACCATTCGACAATACAAGCAGCCAGTTACCCACTAGACAACACGAGCAGTCAGTCAGCCACCAGACTACACGAGCAGCCCGTCAGCCGCGAAACGTCACGGATATTCCGTCAGCCACTAGACAACACGAGAAGTCAGTCAGCCACTAAAAAAAACATGAGCAGTCGGTCAGCCACCAGACACCATGATCACTCAGGCAGCACTGAGACACCACCAACAGTGAGTCCGTCACAAAACATCACAATCAGCCAGCCCCTAGACACCACCACCGACGAGCGGTCAGTGACAAGATACCTCGGACGGTGAGACAGTCATGAGATTATATCGACAGCCAGTCACAAGATATCACGCACGTTCAGTCCGTCACGATGAACTACTGACTGACCCTCCGATTGTGATATCTCGTGAATGACTGACTGTTCGCGGTCTTTTGTGACCGAAACGCCGACCGTGGTATATTGCGACGAATCGACTGTCCGTGATAGCTTCGGAATGCACGTTAGATGACTGAAAGTTGGCATGCATGAGGTTTTGTCCGCCTTTCGGCACCGGAGGACCGCGTTTCGCAGACGCGTTGCGGGTAGATCATATTGTTTATCTGGCGGGTGCTGAAAATGCGGACCTCCCATCGACGACTCAATCACCGGACACCGGACTCACCGGAACGGACCGGACACCGGACCGGACCGGACTTTGGATATGTTCTATGAATCAATACCCAACTCTTGCACTGATGAACAACACCGGTATGGACTGGGGTGGGGCACGAGTTCAGGTGACTAAAAGTCAGAAAACTTTGGGAACCCAACACAACATCTAATTTTAGAGCCGTTTCGTACACACACGTTTCAAACTTTTGGATCTCACGGCCAAATTGGAATGAATGATTATTTCTTCCCTCAACGTTGAAGGGATAATTCTACATTTGTATCGGAGCTTGAACTGAGATATCAATTTTTGAGATCTTTCAGTGCAGTTCACAGTCACGCCACATTTAAAACGTAAATACTCTTGCTTCTCAGCTTGACGTCAGCAAGCTTGTGCACATTATTTTGCGGAGACTATCACGTCACCCAGACATGCATGATGTAAAAGGAACGTTCCGCGAATTCCACCGCATCAATGGCCATGGAGTGCTCAGGATCAAGAAAAGTATGACAGCTCCATAATCAGGTGTGAGGTTATGGGGTATGTGGTTGTGAATTAATAGAAAAAGTTTGGCTATCAACCACGTATGCGTCACATCCACAATGGTTGCTTTGAAATTGTTAGTTTCGAACCACGGCCTTGTTGCTTGTAAGTCCAATGCTTCACCAATTATTAATATCAACAGCCCTGTGGCGTTCGAACATGACATCATCTATCTCCAGGATATCTGGCGATTTTCCGCAGAATTTGTTGCCATACTGGGCTCGTTTTTCTGCTTGACCTACTGATGAGGGTGCCAGCCGATGTCATTTGTGCTGCTTTCCTGATTTTCTTGATTTCCCAGCGGTGCTCTCTGCCGATGATAGCTAATTCATTCTGTGCTGGCCGGTGATCGTCGACTGACCACACACACTCTGTCACACCAGACTTCAGAATCTTACCCCGGATGGTTGCCTTTCTGTGCTCTTCCAGTCCAACTGGCAGAGGAAGACTTGTCTGTTCTTGTATCTTTATATGACCTGCCACAGCTGCATGGCATGTCGCATATGTAGCTCTTCGTGTGCTCTTCAGGTGTCGGTGGTCTGACTTGGGTAAGTGCTCTCCGGAGCGTTGAGATGCTTCTGAAAACTGTCCTGATGTATCGTTCACAGTTTCCTCTGCTCTTTCTGATAATTATTTGCTGTATGTTGATCACAACGTCACTGACGGGTTCAAAGAGGATGCTTGTTGAGCATGCTTTTTGGACCTCCGGTCTCGAAATCTTCTGGGGTCCTCGTTTGTGCAGACAGTTCAGATAAGGTGGTTGGTTTCCTTCTTCTTAGTTGCGCCATCGTCGCTGATGATATTTGCGCGATGATGAAGGCATCTGACGACACCTTCCTGATTGTATCCGAGCGGTGTGACTGCAAGTCCAGGTAGCGACAAATTGCTTTTGGTAAGCGGCACACCAATGTCCTGGACTTGCTGGTAATTCTCTCAACTTGTACATCTAGGGACGATGGGCTGTTGTTGTCTTTACCTTCCGTAGCAAGCTGAATGGATGGCCACAAGCGGCTGATGTGGTTCAAGAAGGTCGGAGGTAGAAGGTCGAGAAGGTCGGAGGTACGTGTTCCTTGTGTTGCCAGAGGACGAAGCAGGCATCGACGTAGCGCAGCCATACTGAGGGTTTCAGTGGACCAGTTTCCATCACCATGTCTCCAAAATGTTCCTTAGATATGCCGGCATTCACTGGTGACAGAGAAGGTAATCTCATGACCGTTCCCTAGCTGTGCTAGAAGCATTGTTCATTCAGCTGGAACGTGATTTAGGTGACACAGAGCGGCTGCAGTTTTAGCATATACTAAAAATTCTGGCAAAAGCGGACTATTTTGTGCAAATTTAGTGGCATTCAATGATCATGCCACATTCAGCTAAAAATAAGTTTGTTGTACGAAGACATGCAACTTAAAAAACATTACGTCTTCAGCCGATGCCTCCAGTTCACCTAAATTCCAGGACAATGTCATGCATGGAATCAGCCACGTGGGTGTGTCGCGGGCGTTGGCTGCTAGCTGCGCCATTATTGTTTTTGTATCGGTGTCGTGTGGAGCAAGGCGGGTTTCGGAAATCATTTCACTCAGTAATGATTAATCGTGGACCATGTTAAGGCATGCTATCATTGTAAGTGCTGTATGCCTTTTGTAACAAAGCTAGCTCTTGGCCGTAAAGTCCTCCACTATCCTAAAAACCTCCGCATGTCTATGGGCATAAAGTCTTTAGAATCATCAAAAGTCTGTAGGACGAAAAAGTACTAGAAGACGCCTCACCCGTCTGGTAAAGGGCATACTCACCACATGCCACATGTTCCGTCGGCAGACAAAGTACAAAAAGTATCCATAGTGCGATTCCACACTTCTTTTTTTATTAAAGACGCCTTCAGCGCCTCACCAGCCATAGGTTGTATGAGATAGAGCTGGGAACGGAGGCGATTCCACGCTCTGTTAATTATTTAGCTGACCATCGCACGATGTCGCACTCACTTCTCAATGGTTCTTATCACAGCATTTCCGTAACATGTGACCATGACTCGCTGCCGATACACATAGTATATAACCCGCACCGATTGTGGCCATGTAGAGGCGTACTCGAAGACTGTACTCGAAGGCGCAAGGCTCCTGTTGGTTGTACACGTGGACATTGTAGAGTGAGTTTTGGTGAGTGTGAATTACTATAGAATAGAAGCTGTAGTCGGACAAAATCTATTTTCGATTAACCCGCGAGAAAAACTGGCACGAGCAAGTTCTACACTAGCCTTACGATCAACCCACCAGGAAGAAATCTGCTTATACGTCTTTACAAACATGTTCTGAAATTACGTAAGTTGTTCAGTGCACTGACGAGAAACATTATTCACATAGATAAGACAGTAGCATTAGCACTATTCTTCGGATAAAAACCACGGACTTCTGCTATTGTTTCGATTAAGGCATATTGCCGAAATGTCACCCCAACGATATCTCCATTCTCCTGGTTTTTACGCGAGGAATGAGGCTAATACTACTGTCTTATCCATGCAAACGTGTTTTGATATCAATGAAAGATATTTCGAGCCAAAAAACGCTGATTAAAGTGGGGTCATTAGAAAAAAAGCGGACAACTGTGTACACTTCTGGGCCATTGGGAGATATCCACCTCCACAGGATAGATACCAAAATACGACTTCGACATCTGGCTGCTGCTGCTCATAATTTTGAATGCACCAAGATTTCGCGGCTACTTTCTTAGAAATAAAATTTGTCGCATCATTTTAGGCGGAAACAATTTTGGCTGCTTAATATAGTATTCGCCGTACCAATGTGACGAAATCATGAACTGTTTTTTTCCTGTAAAAAGCAGTTCACAGAATTAAGGCTCTGTTGTCATATATTCCTCATCTGAACCCTGCTCCCGTCTGCTCCTCGCCAGCCTCTGTGCTGGCCCGGCTGCCCCCCCCCCCCCCCCCCCCACCTCTACCCCAGGACTGACTGCGAACTGATTGTATGGCTGCTTTAATGCATATTTATGAATCGGTAACACCATCTATTTGTATGTAGTACACATTTTGGAAACCTTCAGTAGTACCATTTTCCAAATTATCTTCCCTTAAACCACATCAGCACAGAAAAAAATCGGGAAGCTGCCTGCCTAAGGCATGAATTGGTCCAACGGAGATCCAATTGCGCTTTATTTAACGTAGCCGGCTTGACCTAGTTTTGTATGTGTGCAGGGGTGTAGCCAGAGCCTTGTCAAGGGGGCACAGGATTAACAAAAGCCCCCTGATCGTGACCCCCGAGGAGATCGCCAATTATAGCTTTAACGGATAGGTTGTGTTCGTTTTATTGTTATTTTTACCTTGTAACTAGAACAAAAACAGAAACCAGACGCTACCGCGATATTTATTCTGCTCGTATTTTGAAGTCAATAAGCGGCAGAAATCAGCGTTAAAATACTGCATGAAAGAATCACCGGTGCTCTGAATTTGCAATGGTTTATTGGGCTTTTCTTAGCCTTTGCAACTCAGATGATTTATCATATTTTATATGGGTGCTACACCCATACTAAGGACCTTGCGAAATTAGGTTGTAAATCAAACTTTATGAAGTGTATATTAACGTGGCCAAGCCATGCTTGTCCGGAAATGTCAAAAACCTAGTCAGAATCCATAAGCGATGCAAATTATGTGACGTACATTTCGACAAACAAGTTGCAAATCGCTCGTAAATCTTAGC